GCCAGCCTTTGGAAGGGTAATCTGTGACTTCACTTATGTCGCCCCCGCCAGCCTTTGGAAGGGTAATCTGTGACTTCACTTATGTCGCCCCTGCCAGCCTTTGGAAGGGTAATCTGTGACATCAATTGCTGGACATGTTTCACGGCACAGAACTGAGATCCCAGAAATAAAACAGTTGAAATAGTTGCTCTCAATTGCAATAAAGATATTCAATCCATAGACTACTTTCTATTCTCATGTGGTGCTTCATACTTTAAAATCTGGCTTTATCTTCCTCATCTGTTTTCATTCTATCTTTAAAATAATTGTATAGCTGGATATGGCAGAGAGAATTCTCTGTTCTGTGGACCACTGAAATAAAACTTAGTTCACTTGAATGTTTTGTCTTGAGTCACCAAGTCAAGAGAAGAAACAGACATAGGCATCAAGATCTCGGAGCTGTACGTCTCTACTCCAGGGTATCCCAATCATGAAACAAAGCAAAATAAAGTGCAGTGCTTAGCTGTGCGTAGGGGTGCATGCCTGTCACGCCAGTACTGTGGGAGGTTGAGACAGAAAGATGACAAGATTGAGGCCAACTTGGGAAACTTACCAACTTAGAAAAAAACAGAAGAGGGTTCATTTCAAAAAATCTAGATTCAATTTCCCATTCCTGTCTTTTTTGGGAGCAGAAAGTAATCTATGGATTGAAATGTGGTTCTTTGCCTATTTTACAACTAAACCTAGTTTTTTTTCTCATGTGTGCTGGGTCATTTCCTTCCTGCTTTATGAATCAGAAACATGTCTAAAATCATACCTGCCTTTGGAGTTAGCAGCCTCGTATGACAAACCTTAAAGTCCAATGACCGGGAATAATTTGAGAAAGCTCCTGACATATTCTCTCTTGAAAAGAGGGTCGCAGAGCTTGTCACATGGCAGGGAGATGACATAGGGACCTAATACCCTGCTCGAGATGGAGTGCAGGATCATCTTTCTTCCTTTTGGTGTAGGAATTTCCCATGCCTGTCTTTTTTGGGAACAGAGCAGAAGTCCAAATCAACTCCCCCAAAGCCGCTCTTGAAATGCACAGGTCTGGGGGAAAGGAGTCCCTAAGAAATCTCCTCAGGACCTTGGCCTGGAGCACAGGTCGTTTTCTATGAATTGGTAAATTTCCCAGGTTGGGGGCCTTCCTCACAGAAGCAAAAGGCAGGGCAGGCGGGACTCGGGGTGGACCCGGCTGGCGTGGGAGCCCAGCGGCTGGTCCGTGAGGCCGGCAGTCCCAGCTCTCGCTGTGCCCAGCCCCAGGGCCCGTGAGAGGTCGGTGGCCTGCGCTCGTGCTCCGCGAGGAGCCCATTTTACAGCTGCGCTGTAAGCTTCGTGAACAGTTGCCCGCTGTCGTGTCCATTTCTGTGTTTACATCTTTATATTTTTCATAGTCCATGGAGTTTTTGAGGTCGGCAACTCTGTCCTGCTCAGATCTACCCCACTGCCTTTCCAAGGACAAATGTAAAGTAGGACTTTATAAATATCTGGACTGAATTACTTTAAAATGATTATGTAACTTCTATTTCTACGTTTTCATGGGCATTTTAAGAATTTACGAACTTGAACTCAAGGACTACTCTAGTAAGAGAAAAATGTACTTTTAGGTTTCTTTCCAGAGTGATGTGTGAGTTGGATTGATTTGAAATGTCTACATTTATATCCTCAATTCTGCTACAGCACAATATACACACTGTAAAAATAACTGGTCAAACATACAGTAAGAGCTGCAGATAAGCAAGGGATTGGGGGTAAATACGCCTACGGGGCCAAGTCACAAATATTAGAAATATTCAAAGAACTGAATAAAAATGCTAACATTGTATACAGGTTAAACATTTAAGTAGGGCAAGGGTAGTATAATAAATGTGGTTCTTTGCCTGAAATGGTCTGCAGTCTGGTGGATTTGGGTGTCAGGAAGGCTGAGAGCCACTGTGAGGGGAAGGAGAACGGTTGTGAAATGTGAAGATGCTGATGACCGCAGAGGCAGAGGAGCAAGACGCGTGACCAGGTCGTGAGATGGCTAGCGGCTGTGCGTGTGCACTCATGTGTGCACGGCGTCCTGGGTTTTTATTTTTGCACACTCAGGTTTCTTGATGATAAAGGAATCATAAGCAAATGTAAGGTGCACATCATGTTCCAACTGGTTCCTCATACATAAGGAGAGCAGCAGATCTGTGTTTTTAGACGAGTGCGCTCAGGTGTATGTGTGTGTGTGCGCGCGCGTGCAGCTTCCCTTGGCTGTATGGAAGGGCAAGAGTGCACACAGTGCATCTTCACTTCCTATTTGCAGATTAACTGTGACCACCAAGGTGACTTCTGTATCATTCTTCAGTGAGGATGAAGCTCTGTTTGGTGTTTGTCACATACCCCCGAACACTTTTCAAACATTTGAGTTTGAGAAAAATTCAGAATATACTTTGCAGTTGATTTTCTAATATATTTAACAAATAAGAATTGAATCCTTACATTTCTAATTAATTTGCCAGCAATTAGCTGAAAGATAGTTCAGAACTTCCTAGATAAACAAGCATGATGCTATGTAAATATTCTTTTAAAAAGTCAAGTTATTTACTCTTGAGAGCCTTTCCTACCATGAAGTTTTCCTTGAAACTGAATAGCACATTGCAAATTTGTTTTGACTGAAGTACACCTGAATTGTATGAGGTGATTTGTCAGTGTCTTGCAAGGTCAATTTTGTACGAAAGAGAAAAATAGGAAATTAATTTGAGTGCTAGCGAGTGGATGGACTGATTGGTTCATTGATCCTTTCTTCTCTTCCTTCACTCGTGACTCCCCATCTCCTTTCAACAGATGTTTATTCAAGAGGTATCATGCCCGTAACACTTGCTAGGGGACCCCAAAGATGTGCTACTTGCTGAGAGATACAAACAAATCAGGGAATTAGTGCAGAACCATATGGTGACCGAATCTCGTAATCTGCTTGGTGCTTCCATACCAGAATACCTGAGACAAGGTCACTTATAATGAGCAGACATTTGTTGGATCACGTATTTGAAGGCTAGGAAGTTGTTGTCAGTGTGCCAGCACTCAAAAGTGGCAGAAAGTAAGATGGTCAGACCACAGTCCTTTCATGAAGCCACTAAACCAGACTGGGGGGGGGGTGCCCTCCTGGGTTCATCTCCTCTGAACGATCGCCACCTCTTAGTACTGTTATTGTGGAGTTAAATTTTTGACATGAGTTTTGGATAGTATGAACATTCCAACTGAAATACCAGTATGCTGGGGTTGGGGAGATAGATTGGTGGGCTGGGTGCCTGCTTAGGCAAGCATATGGAAAGGGATTCAATCCCAAGCACCAAATGCCAGGCTGGCCAGGAAACCCCAGGTGTCCTGTGGCAGCCAGTGAAGCAGAAACTGCATGTGGTGGCACACGCCTGTAATCCCAGTGCTAGAGAAGTTGAGGCAGGAGGACCGCTAAGAATCTGAGCTTCATAGTAAGGCCTTGTACAAAAGAAAGAAATAAAAATACATTTTTTTAAAGTACCAGTCTCCTGAGAGTGGAGGGCCGTGCTCTCTACAAGAGCTGCGCATGACATCAGTGCCAACCAGGAAAGACATAGCGTGTTGTTGAGACCACATCTCTGCCTGTGGTTAGCCCTGTCGCACAGTAGGCCATTATCACAAAAGTGTTAGAAAGCATAATTATCACATTTAAGACAGCTGGAGGTATAACTACTGCGGTTTCCTTCCTCATCAAGATTGTGCAAAACCTGAGACTATTATCTGTTGCTTCATAGACTCGAAGTCAGCTATTAGACTGAGTAACTTGCTTTCCAGTGATTATCACAAAACAAAGAGTAAATTAGTCCAAATTATCCTGTTTTTCTAGATATAATTATTACAGAGGTGCTTGGGACAAAAGATGGGAGAAAGTTAAACAATACTCCCCTCTTTAGTGGTCTCCCTATGTCTAGAATTAGCCCAGTAGCAGTGATTTAAATCTCTGTATAAATTGCCCTCTACAGGAATAAATGATGGCTGGAATGGTGTCAGGCAAACCTAGGTGAGAATTCTGGCTCTGCTGCTTTCTGTTGTTGTGACCTTGGACGACCTCCTGAACACCTCTAAACTTCTCCCTCTGTGAAAGGAGGTTATTTTTGTCACTGGGGTTGTTAAGAGACGTAGATGCAGGAATTTAAGGAAACAAGTAGCGCCAGCCATAGACCAAGTGCTTCTCAGAGGGTCTGGACAATGTCTGTCGTCGCTCCTCATGGAAAGGCTTGCTGACGTATTCTTCTCTCTTCCTGTCTCTTCCCTCCCCTGCAGACAACTGCGATGACCCGCTAGCGTCGCTGCTCTCTCCAATGGCGTTCTCCAGCTCCTCAGACCTCACCGGTCCTCCCAGCCCAGCTCAGCTCAACTGGAGAGTTGGTGAGTAGGTGATCCAAGTCCTACAGCCAAGCGCTAGGCAGGGGCCCCGTGAATCCTCGGGAAGAGAGATTGTTTCCATTTGTGGGCATCATGTCCAGAAGTATTGTTCAGAAGAAAGCGTAGGAGGAGATGATTAAAGTCTCATGTAGGTACACATCTCAACACATGATGGTCACTTACGAGGGCTCCTCTAACCATGGGATTCGTCTTGATCTATCATTAGAGGCCTTTGTAAAAATCTCTTTAAATGCATTCAGTGTATTTTCATATTTCATCTATCCAATATACATAGCATCCGATAGATAGTATTATAGTTTATTTATAAAAGGTGAAGTTCTTCAAAATTCGCAGTAACCTTAAAGTAACTCCATCATTGGTATTGCTGCTTAGAAAAACTAGAACATACATTTAATTAAAATCAAGATTATAAACCACCTGCAATCTTACCAACTACATATAAATGAGGTGAAATGCTTAAGGTCTTTACAACACATATTAAAGATCAGGAGGTATACTTCTTTTTAACTTATTTATTTATTTATTTTGTGTGTGTGTGTGTGTGTGTGTGTGTGTGGCCAGCTCAGCCCACCAGGGGGCGGGGCTGGCTGGCATGTGGTGCTGGGGGATCGAACCAGGGTCTCTGTGCTTTGCCAAGCTTGTTCTAAGTAGGTGCTTTAGACCACTGAGCCATCTCACCAGCCCCAGGGTGTATACTTCTGAGTGGTCCATTTTTTTATTTTTTGGTGGAACGGGGGATTGAACTCAGGCCCTTGCACTTGCCGGGCAAGCGTTTGTTCTCCTGAGCCATCTCCCCAGTGCCTAAGTGGTCCATTTTACTAAATAGGTTCACTACTATGGTAGAAGAGGTTTGGAGTAAGAAGGAAAGCCTTAGAAATTAGGCAAGTGACATCCAATGCTGGGCTCAGCATTTGTACATTCTGTAATAAATCACTCATCTGTTCCTAACCTTTGCTATTTATTGGGGAAGTTGCTTTCCCAGTTGCTTCCAAAGTAAGCCCAGACTCTCAGATCCTAAAGATGCTTCCCACAGCAAGACTGAAAATTGCAAGTGTATCTCAGGAGTCCCACTTTGCATTTCAGGAGGAAACAAATGTCAGGAGATTTCGACACCATGACCAACGGGGATTCCAGGAACAGCTGCTTAAAATCCCAACCAAATCGAGGAGCAGCTGAGAGCCATTCATCCTTCCTGCCTGTTGCGCAGTTTCTGGGGAGAGCTTTGGGTCTGCTCTCAGGGCAGCTTCCGCCCTACTGGATGGGGAGCCGCTAGGGCTGGGTGTCTCTGTTCCACCACTCCTCACACCCTGAGCTTGTTCACTTGTGTTTGCCTAGATGCAAAGCCAGCAGGAGGATGTGTGCAGAGCAGGCCTTCTCTTGTATGTACAGTTTCAGTCAGCACGCCCGGGGTGTGGGATGAAAGAGGTGCAGAGTCAAGGTGCGCGGGCTGATAGCTCATCTTTTGGCACAGCACCAGGGTGTGGATGGTATCCCTGCCATCCACCCTGTCCTTGTGGGAAAGCAGGCCCAGGCTCCAGAGATCTCATTCCCAGGCTGCACCCTTGGATTACCCGGGAGTCGCTGGGAGCACTGCCCGAGCCATCTCCCATCTCCCACATAATCTCAACTAATCATGTCGGACGAAACTTAACAAAGAGATGGATCAAGGAAGAAATGCATGCTTTAGTGGTGATCAAAAATGCAAGAATTAGGGCCAGGGAAATAGCTCAGTAGAATGAGAGCCTGTCTGGCAAGGGCAGGGTCCTGAGTTCAATCCCCAGTACTGAAAAAAAAGAAAAAAGCAAGAACTGCAAACCAGAGAGTTGGATGAATTCTTGTGTAGCAAATCCTTCCGTGACTATTTATTGGCCATGCGCTACTTGCTAGACACCACGCTGGAACCTGGACACACGACTGGCAAGAATAGGAATGTCCTTCCTGGGAGTTCACAGGGTAGGATGGATTGTGATGTAATTCTAATTTATGATCCTAATTAATGACTAATGGTGCTTATTAGTGCTAATATTAATACAAATACTTCATTTTGTATAGGTACAAATGCATATATGTGTGTTAAAAATAGACCATTCATATATTTTACAGCATATACTAGCACATATGTAGAGTGATATTTAAGTATACACAAATATTGAATATATAGAGACTCAGGGTCATATTAAAGGATGAATATATACAAGGATGGATCTGACCTGCATATTTATAGCTATAGATAGTAATGCCTTCACTCAGGAATATTTCTGTTTGCAAATAAATGTGCTGGGCAAAATTTTCCTCCTGTCTGAAAACTGTGCTCCAGGTGCAAACACGGCCAAGCAATCTTCTTAACACAAACACAGATATTACCCCTTATTATCCATGGGATACATATTGTTCCAGAACCCCATGGATTCCTAAACTCATGGCTGAGCAAGTCCCTTCTATAAAATGACATACAGCTTCCTATAACTACATTTATCTCATACATCATAAATTATCTCCAGGTTAATTATGTTATCTAACACACTGTAAATGATAACTAAATATGTAGTTGTTAAATTATTTAGGTAATAATAGATAACAAAGAATAAAGTCTTTGTGTGCACAGTCCACAAGCAGTGTTTTCAAATATTTTCCATCTTCATTTGATTGAGCATACAATTGTAATACATGAAAATACAAAATTATAACACAAGCACACACGCAGATATTTATGTATATATACATATATATGCACACATAAACTAATCTGAACATGTATATAAGACATGGAAGATACATGCATGTATAGAGCATGTATACTGATACTACAGATGTTATCATAAAACATAAAAGTAATTATGCTAATGTTGAGGATAAATTTCATCATATGTCTGGTTAAACAAACAAAACATTTAGTAAGTCAAAGAGGAAAATATATATAGCTTTAATTGATGCTAGAAATCTGAGTGAAAGCTGTCTCTCTTTGTCCTTCTCAAGACCCACCTGCTCCAGTCGTGGGATCTGCAGCCCAATTGCTCAGTAGCGGGACCTACGAGTACTGCCTGCCCCTGTGATTCCTTAAGAGCACTCTGGCATGTTAGGAAAGGCTTCAGGTGTGCCCTAAAGAGCAGGTTGTGCCCGCGTGTCTGAAGTCTGGCGGGTGTGAAGACATCTGTGGAGACATCAGAGAGCTTTTCCCTAATGGTTGACTTGTGCATGTAGGAATCCACACTCTTCAACTTACGCGACTACAATAGAACCAAAAGTGGTGCCAGCGACACGTAGGCGCCCTCCAGAAACCACCACTGCTCCTCACGTATATCTATTTGCCCCTCACAGCTGCCTTCCCTTGATGTTGTATTGGTAGCCATGTTTCAAAGGCAAAATCTGTGATAAAGAGGGCAGCTGGTGCCATGCCAAACTTTAACCCAGGAAGTCAGATTCCCACATCCACGGTCCTACGCGCAATACCCGGGCATTGTCCAGCCCAGAAGGTGAAAATAGCTTTTGTGTTTTAGACAAGAAAATATA